CTAACGTGAATGAACAAATAGGTCTGCTAATGATGGAGAGCAGCTGGGACACGGGTCTTCAAGCAAATTACTGAAAGACCTGATTTCCAAGTCTACTTACATTTTGTTGAACGAAACTCAAACATCTTTTTAAGAGCGTTTTGTACATTCAGAGTATTTAAAAGGAAGATTTATGAGTTCCATTTTGGTTGGTTGTAATGGTTAAATAAGAGAAACACCGACATCTGACGAACAAACGTAACTCTCCCCAACTTCCCGTATCTCGATTGTTTTCTCGGGACCAGCAATTGTACCCATATGAAGTTTAAAATCGGAAGAAATAAGTGTATGTGTAAAAGAGAACGTAGTGTTTTAACCACTTTGTATTTGAAAACTGATCGTGTCAAAATTTTTGCTATCACTTACAATGTTTTAAAAAAGAGAACAAAAGAAGAAAATACGCCATAATACTTTAGACGGATTAAGAAACACGTTTGTCATGCGTCAGTGATTAAACCACAGGGGCCGTAAACATACTGCATTTGATTTTACGTAATCACTAGACGTATACAAATGTATACATATAGTGATTACGTAAAATTAAATACAGTATGTTACCGGCCCCTGTGGATTAAACGTATACAAATAAAAACTAGTAGTGTGCGCCTTGTTCATATGGGGAAAGGTTACATTTTACAGCTTGAAAAAAAAATAAATCCGTGCAATCAAGTAAATATGTAGTGCGCTTTACAAGGTGTCTTGTATTGAGAGAGAGAGAGAGAGACAGATAGATAGATAGAGAGAGAGAAAGATTCTTTATTAAATTTATTAGAAATAAACGAGCATTCATGGTAGACAGTATCTTCTTAGATGAAGTATTAAATAGCGATCTTAACTAAATTGTCTTGGGCTGCTTTTATTTCATATATATGTAACAGGCCTGAAGCAAGCAATTTCAGTTGGGGGGGGGGGGACAACCAGAAACGTAGAGTCACTACCAAACAATTCCTTGGGAAACCTTAAAAACCGAGGCCCCGTGTCAGCGGCAGGCGTTGGCACGATAAAGATCCCTCACTGCTCAATGGCCCTGAGTGCCGAGTAAAGGTCAAAATTTAAAGCCCTTCATCGACATACGGTGACGTCTCCATATGAGTGAAAATTCTCAAGAGGGACGTTAAATAATATACAATCAATCAATCATATGTAAGGTGGTGCATTTTTCTTTGTAAAATTCTTTTCTTTGTCTTAAAGTTATGCTCCACAATGTCATTGTTTGTTAACCATGCATTATTCGTCAAAATATAAAATTAGAAGATACACTATGTACTTTTGACCACACAAAGAGTTATTTTGACCGAAGGTCCAATATACATATAAAAACTATAACCGAAATTATAACTTGTTTCATTTGTAAGGAAAAATATATATTCACCATCCTGTTGTAAAACCAAAGAAAAAATATTTATTCCAGAATACCGACAATAATATATATGGACTTTTAAAAGTATGAATAATATGATAACCTAGTTGTCACTTAGTTGTCATAGCATCCTGCAAAAGTATGTGCACACATATGCTTATCACAAGTGCTTGTAGACCAAACAACTTTCCCATCCCCATCCCCAATATACATTCCGGGTCCCAAGATATTCATATTTTTCTTCTTTCATAAATTAACCGTCTAGTACATATTTACAATGTATTTCATATGAAAAATCCAAAAAGTACATAGAATTAACTTTTTATTTTAAAAAATCATGCCCGTAGTATCTTAAATCACCTCTGACTTTGTAACTACAGGTATCGATTTTGTAGGTTGTAAATTGTAAATGTTATTAATGAAAGAAAGCCAAAAAATGGTGGGGGTTCCAGTCCACTAGCACCCGTGAGAATTACATGAAGATTTTTAAGGTACATGTTTGTAAAAAGAAGCTTTATCAACCGACAAATTACAAAAGGACACCTCCCTGGATTTATTATATGGCCATTATACCTGTGTATTAAGGCCGTATTAATTTTATTTTTCGCAGCATATAGTATTTTGAACAAGAATTTCTTTAAAGTTTTTGGGGTTTTGCAATTTAAGTTTACACCATAAATCCTTATTGTCCCGACCGCCCTTCATAAAGCCCCCCCCCCCTTTCGACCCCTACTTGATCCGCACATAACTATTATTTTTTATTTCATGCCACAGAGTGACATTTTTAAAATTTTCCTTTCATTTCCCTTCTCGAACCCCTTTGCTCGTTTAAATGTCCATTGAAATGTATTGTAGCGTCACGGTAGCGACTACGACAAGACGTGGCTTTGAGGTAGCTTGTAGGGATTTTAGCTATCGAAATCCCAATAAACTTGAAGAATTCAATAATCAAAGAGTGAATACAATAGACTATAATGACTGATCCCCGTTTTTGGTTACGTTCGTTCGTAAGATGTCGGTATTTCTTTATAAAGTGTTTAGAAGTTGTACGTTTTGATGTTATTGATTTTGGTGAAATTTCGTCATTTTAATTAAGTTTCTTTTGAAATTGAATGTCTATATCTGACTTAATACCGCTTCTAGAAAATACTGTAGTACAATTCTCTACTGTACTCGACTGTTTTTTAAAGTTATCTTCTCCAATTATTGTCAACATTAGCAAGAATACAATACTACATTTCTATTGCATAAACTCATGCACTGGAACAGATAATTACAACAATTTTAAAAGGTGATCAAATATGTTTTAGAAGAGTCTGCCTAGAGTTTTAAGAATGTGTTTCTTTGTATTAATACAATATAAAAGAATATTTTATCTTTATGTACTATCAAAAATCTTTAATTCAAGTATTTATAGACAAATTCTTTGAAGTAGAAACCTTGTTCTCTCAAAATAACAGAAAATCAAAAATAGCGTATGATAAAAATTGATACTTTGGGATTTTTTTTTTTTTAGAAATGACTAAACTCCAGCAACTCAGTCCTTTTCTTGATTTAATATTTTACAAAAGTAATAAAATATTTGAAATTTGAAAATGTGCCCCTCCTGCGCATTTTTTTTTTATTTCTTGGCGATATCACTTATGGTTTATTCAATTTTCTTGGCTATATTACGCCATATTATTAGTGCATTTTTTCTATCCGATTATGCACATTGCTCTTAATATTGAACATTTTTCTACGAATGTCCCTGATTTTGAATATAATAGGGAAGTTAAAATAGAAAAAAATGTTCCCTGTTTTGTTTATTCCAATATGGTCTTTGTTTACAAAACTTCCGTAACATCAGGAGGGCCATTCAAAAAATTTATTAGGAAAAGCTAAATGGTAAAAATCAGCCTATGTGATATTGCTAATTTTTTTGTAATTTTTATCTTCCTTCTAAAAATTCACCTGGCTTGGTATATTTTTCTAAAGTTTATATAAAACTTTTAGCGCCAAGATAACATATTCCGAAATTTGTTTTCACCTGTAAACCTTTACTGAATGTGATTTGTCTATGTATATTTTTTTTGAAATATTACTAATATTTGAATTATTGAATTATTGAAAGGACCACATAAGTCCGTGTTCCGAATTTTAGGTGCATCAATTTAAGCCAATCAAATGTTACGGCTCATTGATCATAATTGATACGGCAACATGTAGAAAGTGAAGTCAAACTCTTCACAAAAAATCCACGAAGAACGATATTTTTACCACGTTTGAGGTGTGCCCGCTGCCCACAGCTGTATGAGGTTGTTAATATATATTTTACATCAGGCTGCATGGAGGTCGCCATATTGTTTCAAACGTCATATTGATTTACGTATGTTACAGCTATTTTCATTGGACAAATATTATAGAGCTTCAAGGGACTTAACTCAATTACGGCGATAGGCGGCGCAATTAAAGTTCCCGTTTGATAGGACTAAATCTGCCAAGGGTTGTAGAGTAGGTATCGGATCGGAAACCCTTGGCTAGCGAAGATGAGATACTAGGACTTTTATTTTTCACATATATATTCTTTGTGACAAGACCTTTTATTGGATACCAACAACTTTGACCTTTTGACCTTGACCTTGGAGATTTCCGAACTTATGAAAAAACTTTAACATTGACCACAACTTTTGAACGGTACGGGCTAGGGCTTTCATACTTCATATATGTAATCCTTGTGAGAAGGCCTTTCATTGGATACCAAGAACTTTAACCCTTTCACCTTGACCTTGAAGTTTGGCCTACTTTTAAAAAATTATGACCATTGCCATAACTTTTGATCACTAGATACTAAGACTTTTATATTTCACATATGTATTTTTTGTGGCAAAACCTTTCATTTGATATCAACAACCTTGACCTTTTGAAGTTGACCTTGGAGAATTTTCGTACTTATGAAAAAACTTTAACCTTTACCATAACTTTTGAATGGCAAGGGCTAGGGCTTTCATACTTCACCTATGTAATCCTTGTGAGAAGACTGTTCATCAGATACCAAACACTTTAACCCTTTGATTTTGACCTTGGAGTTCAGTGATGATTTCTAAATAAATGATATATGATAGGGTGTTCATATTACACACAATATGTCATTAAAAATAACATCTCGCCCACAAAGACACCGAAAGCGGGGGACCATAAATCCTCGAATTTGCTTGTTTAAAATAGAAAATTCATTCATAAAATTCTTTTTTTGATATTAAAATGATTATCAAATTGTAAGTTTTTTTTCTTTTCTACATTTAGCTGAGCATTTAAATTGCAATTTCATGTCTTTAGCCAATGCAGACATTTTACGAAATATCTCTTGTTTGATCCTCTTTTACGGGTCTTGAGTATCTTTTTAGTCTTAAACGTATCCTCGTCTCTAACGTCCATCTATTGGGTTCCGGTTGATAGAAAGTCCCCGTAATAGCTTCGTCATTGTAGTCCTTGAGTTTGTATACTGGAATGCCATCCCTCATGAAAAGTCGAAACACGATGAAAATTTCACCAGATCACTTTTGATCGTATTGCCTGTCAAAATGGATAATAGATCTGTATTTGAGAAATTCGCACCTTATCACCCACTTTGAACTTGTATAGCCACTTTGATTGCTTGCGTGGAATCTCCCCGCGACAGGAATGTAGATACGCGCACTTCTTCTTCGTTGTTTGGTCTAACCAGTGCGGGTTTGGTGTCAATAGTTCGGTGGTACATGCACTTCATGTTGTAACTTCGAGGGAATTCCTGAAGACGATCATTGTATCGTTGTGATTGTTTGAATGTCATGTAACGATACACCTTAGTTTTGATGGTCTTGATAGCTCTCTCTGTATAGTTGGCTTTCACTTCGGTATTTTTAGAATAAAAATGCTCTATGTTGTGATCCGTTAATACATAATTGAAGGCTTTTGATCGAAATTCTTGTCCTTTGTCCGTGCAAAGCTTCGTATGTTGCCTTCTATCAGCCAATACGTCTTCAAACGCCTGGGCTGCCGTTGGCCCTATCTTATCCTTTAAAGGTCGCATCCCCAGGTACTTGGAGAAGATATCGATTACCAAGAGTATGAACTGGACTCCCTAATTTAATTATCATTGGTCTCTATATAATTCTCGGAATCCCACATTTATTCAAGGACAACACGATTGTTATTCAAATTCATTCTGATGGCTCTGCGTTTGTCATAGCCTTTGGAAGGAACTTTTTAACATCGTCCATCACTTTTGGGTGAATGGGTTCGTTTTGCTACTGTAGGATGTATTTTTGTACATGAGTTGTCCATACTTTTCTTAAAATTTCTGAAGGTCTTTTAGAGTTCATTTTTCCTCCGTTTGAACTCTTATGTCTTCTCTTGATAGATCTTCCCTAACGTATTTATCATATTTCAGGGCCCATATTTTTTTCTTGTCTTCTTTGGCCGGTATTTGTCATTATGTTCCTTCTCTGGTTTGAAAGGCGAGGTATTTGACTCATTCACCTCTATGGGAGCAACATCATCTTTTCTTTGTCCGTTCTCTGGAGACCATCTTTTCACATGTCTTTGAAGGTCATGGACGTTTTCAAAGACCAGAACCAAAATCATCACAGGAAGGCATATCTTCTGTATGTGTGTTGTGTTGAAAATCCGTACTGATGGATTGGTAGGTTGAAGGAACCGACACGTGGAACGTCCGATCGGTAGGAATAGCTTTCTGAGAATGAGGGAAATTCTCTGTTTCTAGCTGTTTTATAGGATTCAAGACGTCAGATGTTCGGGTGTAGTTGTCTTCAAATCCACTAACAGGTATCCATCAGGATCTGCACTGAAAATTTAAGTTAGTCACCATGACCTAAAAAAATAATCAGATTGATTGTCCTCCAGATGAGGGTGCAGTTACTCAATTAGACAATATGTTAAGCTCATTTTGACGACTCGAGAAAAATCATACCGACTGACTCGATAGTCTACCTTGACTAATTGAACGTCAACATGAGTACACTATAAGGATTTCATTTGACTGTATTCTTGTCATATTGATAGATTCCAATATTCAAAATGATTATCATTTCATATGAAAATGACTTTCAATTAGCTATATTTCTAGACATTTTGACGATATTGGAAATCATGATGACGATGCGCGTTAAATCATTTTGATTATCACGCATCAATCCCTTCAGATACAAAATATAACAATTATACAACTAATATTTGAACTTTTTATTATAAAATTTCTGTTTTATAAATATCATTCTTTCAAGCACCAAATATACACAAACGTATAAATCGATCATCTTAATAAAAAACATAAGATTTGCATATTAACATCGTAAAAAGTTAAAAAAAATCATATACACCTATATATATAGCATACATAGATATTTATATACTAGTATTTACAAGCAAATTAATTTTTACTGTTTGTAAATGATTTCTAATCAATCAAAGAAATAGCTTCAGGTAACAGTCTCTTGTTGCACCCTTTCAGTTGTTGCTTTGTTTTCCTACCTCAGAGGAATATATTTACTGGTTGTTTTCTTCTTTGATCATTACAGATTTTTTTTTCACAGCTCTTCTGAGAATAGTCTTCTTAATTTATACAGCTTGATAGCAAAAGTAAAGTAGGCCTAAATGAAAACAAATTTATTTATATTAAAAGGAAATCAAGATATAAATATAGTAAATAGATATAAATATACATGTATATGCAGTATTAAGAAGAAAATAACGGGTACCATAATATTAGTCGTTTAATAATACAATTAAAATGAATAAAAAATTCCATTTACCTTAGCAAACATGGCACATAAGAATGAAATCATCATCAGTTCTGTTTTCTTCTTGTTTGGCTGTTTTCGTCAGAAATTGGTCAACTACAAACCATTGCTATTTTATTTAAAATGCCTTTAATATCATATACATGTATTATAAACAAAATACATGGAATAATACGAACAATATTTAGTGAAGCAGGCCAGTATCGTCAGTGGAGAGTTAGTACATAAACATCAGGGATTCGTGTACTTGTATTTTCTTTTTTAAATAGAATGTTGAAAAATAACAAGTTCTATGTAAATCACCATTATACTTAAAATATAAGCTATCAGTACGTGTAATCCTACCTTATTTCTTCTATTCATGGTAACATCTTCGTGTACCTAATGTGGTTTACATCTTGTCTATATTCGTAACAAGGTATTGTGTTTTGATTCATTTGTCCATTCAGTGGTAGTTGAGAGTCCATGTCATACCTGTGAGTTGTAAAAGAATAATACCTATTTAATAATCGTTGAATTTTAGACCAAGTCCAATTTGAACTGTTTGCATAAATTGAATATGCAAAAATCCACTTGAACACAATCAACCCACATCCTAGCCTATATGTATCATTATGATAATAGTGTAAAATACAATAATTATTGAAGAAAAATATCGAGTACTTTGTTAATTATAATATTATTTCTCGGTAGAACATTTTTTGAATAAGTTTATTATAGAATTATTTGTCTAAAACAAGAAAATAACAAAACATGACATACCATCACTTCGTGTTTTCCTGGGAGGAAAATGGCGACCAACGCTATTGTTTCTTCCCGCCAAACAATATAAACAAAATGACCAGGATACAAGTCAAAGTTTACCAAAGACTGGTAATGTTGAGGAAACAGATAGTCAACTTATGTATTGACTAACTGAACGGAAGAAAATGACTTCAAATCTGGTCAACGTGACAAACCTATGTTTTCAGTGTGGTTGCACGAACGATAGTTAAATTAACTTCAAGTTAAAGTGGTAACTAGTTGTTTAATTTTTAACGATAAGTTACATAACTGTCAGTTAAATTGTTGTTGTTCGAAAGTCAATTAAAGTTTAATTAGTTAACTCAGATTTAATTGATGTCTTATAGTAAACTCGCTTTTAAAATCGTTCGACGCGTGCACTTCCCTTACCTAAGGAGAAAGATTACTGACGTCATAATAAAATGATGTCAATTTGTAAATTGAATTTGCTATGGGAAATTTACTTGATTTGTTGTATAATGTTAATCTTTTTATTAGGTAAAATAGTTTCTTCTAACATTGAAAGATCAACTTACACGCAATATAAACAATACAGTTACAACGAACACCCTGTATATGTGGGTTTTTCTGTATTTAATTCTAACGTACGGCCTTGAATTTGAAACTAAAAATAATAATAAAAAAATAATCTCTCTAAAAAATGGGGGAGAGGAACACACTCCCCCTTCTTTATTTTGTTGTGCCTGAGGTTAATGGAATAAACGTTTTTATCAAGTTACATATACATGCACGTATAAATATATTGACACAGCCCTAATAATGCAATCGTGCCTAAAGTGAAATTAGGATTAAATGTGTGTTTTGCTCATGTCGTGCATATATATTATCTCTGTATAAGTTTGTCCTTCACCGCAAACAAGTTTTGAAGTGATAACAATTCCACAATTTTGATTTTAATGTTAAAGTAAATATTTTACGTACCTGTGTAACCTAAGTTAAATATGTTAGTTAAATCACAAAATTAACTAAGGTTTAACTGATAGTTTACTCTCGAGCAACCGATTTAACTCGCTGTAATTTTAATGTCGCGTTAACGCAAAGTTAACGGCTACTTAAATTTAACTATCGTTCGTGCAACCGAATCCAGGTTTGGAAGTAGCGTCTTAAAATGTCTCAGCAGGTGTTGAGGATTTTTTTGGATACATCTGTCGAGCTAAGGTTATGACTTGCTGTCTGTCCACAGGATTGTTAAACTGGACCAGGTAGTGGCAAATTCGTCTCTGGGTGGTATCTATCTTGTAGTACAGATTTTGATTGATAGCCTCTATCGATAGATTTCTGTGATGGCTGCCATCCTTTAACAATTTGTTTATTCTGGAATCTTTGGAAGCCGTAGACATCAGATCGTCCAAAATCACAAAATTTGTCATTATGGGATATAAAGGAATCTTGATGCAAAGGTATTCCTTGAATAAATTCGACCTTGGGATAAACGGTACACTGAATGACATCATACAGTGGTTGCAAAAGTTTGTAAATCCATATGATTCTCTCGGGGGGAGGCCATATGATTGAATATCAAGAAGGTGGCATGCTCATAATCTTTATTTCGTAGTTCCAGTTTTTCAACTCTTAGAATTCGCATCAGAATTGGGTACGGTCTCTTGAAGATTTGATCTTGTTGGACTCCAAAACGAAACGCCTCAGCAATGGTCTGTATTGTTCACCAACCACAGAAGTATCACATGCGCCACAGCACATAAGAAAATCATTCGTTGTGGTCTTGACAGGGGTTATGAAATAAAATTCACTAATTTCTTATGTCCACTGTTCCTTAAACACCAATTTTGTTTTAGATTTACGAGCGTTCAGGTCATTTATTCTTTTAGGCAATTCTAATATACATGCATTGCATGTAATGACCCGAAACAACCCGGACTCGTCCATTAAATAGGTAACACGCCATCTTCAGGTACTTTTTTGAATTTGCATTAATGACCTAGGAACACCCCCGGGCTAAACTGTAGTCGTCAAGAATTTACATTTGATTTATCACACTCAACACTTTGATTAATTTTTTGAATTTTGCACTTAAGAACCCAGGAAAACCCCCATGCTGAAATCTACTCGTCGAGACCTTCCGTTTGATAGGTCACATGCTATCCTTCGGGTAACTTTTTTTCCCATTTTGCACTTGACCCCAGTGCTTAACATGGGGAATTTAAAAAATCGTGTTTCTCACCTTCCAGTGTAAGGTCACGTGACCAAAATTCGAATGCTGCCTTCTGATTGGTCCAAAGTTTGACGACGTCATTCAGCGCGAAATTCAAACCGTGATCTATATACGCACATCCCGCTACTTATGTATTTAATATACAAAGATGCCTATCATTAACTATCGAAAAAATGACAAATCCCTTATTTGCTTAAAATTAAATTTTACTTATCGCATTTCAATGATAAGTAATCCATGCGTCTGATTTTAATTTATATTTTATGAGTCAACAGTTACTTAACTAATTGATAAAGTTTAAAAGTATATCATTTTTGTTCGATTTTGATTTTGTTCACTACTTTTGGAGCTCCTCGGGTGGCTCGTACCTCTCACACTAACCTAGGACGTCAAAGATTTTCTACCATCTTGCTTATTCAGTCATGTGATCTTATTGTTCTCTTGTCCTTCGCTTTCGTGAAAGCAAAGGGACATTAAATCTCATTTCTCTGTCCGTCTGCAGTCAGTCAGTCTGTCCGCCCGTCACAAAACTTTAACCTTGCCCATAACTTTCGATTTAAAGGAGCTATAAGTTTCATATTTTACATGTGTATTCATTGTAACAAGACCTTTCTTTGTGTACCAAATTATTTGACCTATTGTCCTTGACCTTCGAGTTTGACCCAATTTTATATAAAAAAAATTTAACTTTCACTTTGGCCATTACTTTTAAACGGTAGATACTAGGACTTTCATATTTCATGTATGTATTCTTTGTGGAAAGCCTTTCATTGAATACCTTAAATTTGACCTTTTGACCTTGACGAATTCCGTACTGATAAAGAAAACCTTGGTCAGAACTTTTAAACGGTAAGCCATAAGGGCTAGGGCTCTCATGCTTCTCAGTTTGACCTACTTTTAAAAAACAAACTTTGACCATAACTTTTGCAGGATTAGGGCGAGGGCTTTCATACGTCACATATTTAATCCTTGTGACAATACCTTTCATTAAATATCAACAACTTTGACCCTCTTACCTTGACTTTGGAGTTTGAACTACTTTTTAAAAACTTTAATCTTGGTCATAACTTTTGAACGGTAAGGACCAGGGCTATCATATTTCACATATGCTATACTTATTACAAGACCTTTCTTTAAAAAACAACACTTTTTACATTGGAGTTTGATCTACGTTTTAAAAACTTCTCCTTGGTCATAACTTTTATACAGGTGGTCCTAGGGCTTTCATATTTGACATTTGCATTACCTGTGACAAGATATTTCCGAGTATGCTATGATTTCTGAAACCTTGCCCTTCACGATTTACCTTATTTTAAAAAAAATCAACTTCGGTGATAATTTCTGATTTAAATATGAAAGGGCGTTCATATTTGACACAATATGTCATTAAAAGACATCTCACCTTCAAAGACAAAAAAAGCAGTGGGTCACAATTCTTCAAATATGCTTGTTTGAATTTCATTCAAATTGCTATACTTTTGAAATCCGAGTTACTTTGTGGCACGCCCAACACTACTTGCTTTCAAAAGCTAATAACATAAAGTTGTAATCAAAACCTATTTACAAGGAAGAATAAGACGTATTATAAGAAATCTTTTTGAAGAGCTTCATGCATTGCAAAATATAAAATGAGTGACAATGCAGGTTTCGTCGGAGAAATATGGCGACCTGATAGGTATTACTCCACCTATTACATCCGAGGTTTGATTGGAGCGTAGCAGAGTTAGCCGAGGATTGCCAATTGTCTTCACTATAGTCTCAATCATTCAAACGCATGTCTTTATCAACAAATCAAAGCGGTTTTATGATCAAGAGTAATTTCCATTGTTTACTTTGTTTACATTTTTTCTTGGGCGACAATAGATTGCACATTGTTGATTACTTGTTGTGATTTTGTTTGGGGAAAATATTTATTCCAGTTGCAGGTTTTTTTATTATGAGAAATTCAATATGGTTGTAACTTAATAGTAGCAACCACCCTAATAACACGATTTTACATATCACGGCAGCTATCATGCGTATCCGATACATAAATATTACGCATTGCAATTTATACTTTCGGATTAATAAAAAGGTATTTTATATTCTTCCGGGTAATTATACTTCTTTAAAGCCGCAATATACCCATTTGTTATCTATTATTGATAAGAGGAGCGAATAGGAAGAATCACCAATTTACGTTGGGGTACGTTGGAACGGAATTGGATACAAATATGGCATTTAACTTTTCTGCCTTAGATCCTGCAACGTGTGATGTTATATGGCGCAAATCCATCATGGATAGAAACCCTGGAAAATGAATTCTTGGAAGAATATTTTACGAAGGTGAGAATTTACATCCAGCAAAATGTAAAAAAAAAATATTTCTAATTTCATATTAACATAGCAAAGAGAACAATGTATTTCATTATAATTCATATATTCATTAATTTAAATTTAGCTAGCAAATTTTGTTAAGGGTGAAAGAAACCTTTACCCTAACGAAATATATCCCCCAGAGTTTGATGTGTTCAGCTGGACTAGATACTGCAGCATTGACGAAGTAAGGCTTTGTACTAGGTCCATACAATATGATATCAAAAAATAAAGACGTCAAGATTAGCATCTCATAAATATAAGACAAGCGTTATATAAATACTTATTTATTGTAAGTTTCCATTCGAAAACAAATTTTTGACAAACCAATTGTGAGATGAAATGAGTTGTATATTTCATCATATAAATGCAATGTATTTATAGAAACATTCAACGAAAAGCCCCATTTTTCTTTTGATTGTTTATAACTAATCATTTTACAGGTTAAAGTAGTCATTATGGGACAAGATCCGTATGATGGACCTAATCAAGCAAATGGTTGGTGTTTTTTTTTTCGAATGTTTTAGATAGCTAAGCAAGGAAATTATCAATTTCTGTAAATTTGCACCTACTTTTGCAGCCTTACAATGGATTCAGGAATAGTTATAACTAATAAGCTGGTACTAAGTCTCAGTTATATTTGATGAACAACCATATTTTGAACTCTACATGTACATCAGTTTTTTGCATTAACAAACACAAATACACCAAATTACGGTAGGTCCTGAGATGAATTAATTAAATAACAAGAAAATTTAACATAAATTATTTATATAAACAAACAAATTTGAAATCAATGATGGTGCCAATAGGTGGCATTTAATTTCGCAAATTCCTTGTTCTGTAATAAAAAAAAAAACTATAGGGGTAACGAACAGTAATGAAGCACTATAGTCCTTAGAAATAACAAAGCAAGTAAAGATAAGAGCAAACACGGACCTCGCAGCTAGGATAACGCTGCCAGTAAAAAAAACCAAACTGCTCAAATTGTAGTAACTTCTCTGAACTACCTAGATATGACGTCATGATAGAATATGACGTCAAGTCACTGCATACCTGAGCTGAGATGATGGGGAAAGTGTCATAATTTTTACATAGCATGTTGTTTTATTTCGGGACTTGTTGTTTAATTCAAGTGTTAGGATTGTTTTTTTTTTTTTTTTTGAATCTCGAGTTGGCTGCTATGATGTAGAACATTTGAAATTTAAATATCTTTATTCCTTTCGCTTGTCCGATATGCACATATTAAAACAATAGTGAAATATTAAGTGTGAAACGCTCCCCTTATCTCTCTGTCTCTAGACCAAGTTAGAATTTATGAATCGTGTTTATATTGCATTTGCACAAGTGATAAAGAAGGACAAATTGAAGATATTCTGTGCGAATCTACAAGAGAAGTACATGTATGTCTATTAACTGAATATTCCTGGGGGATTGTGTGTAGTTTATCCATTTTTGTATAAATCGCTATAAAGAGTGGAAAATATCCCTTCTTATGTTGGTAAGTTGAATTTCTCGTACAATATTTTCTTCATGAGTAAAAATGAAACCTGCTCCCAGCACTTTCTATGTCCCAGAGATCACGATTAATTGATCTATATGACAAACTTTGCACAGTATTTTTGTTTTGCACTTGTGCCGAAGCGATTTTTGTGCAAGAATCAGGAATATCATAAATCTACGTCACGTGATCCACACAGTCATGTGACATCACAAAAATGCTTTAAAATAAATCCTGATCAAACCATTATCTCAAGTTGACTGCAATTCCAAACAAGAATTACATATTAAAATTAAATCAAATTAAAATCTAGCTAAAAATAAAAAAGTATACTTTTTAGACCTTTTAAGCTTTTGCACAGCCTTATCCTAACTGCGCTCTTAAAACATCGGAGGTCTGATAAAGGGCCATTTAGGAGTGGGCACAGGTCACACCCGCTCATTGTCATAATCTTGAAAATAGAAAAAAAAATCTACAAACAATTCAATATGTATATAATGGCCATCAACCATAGAACTTACGAAATGATTACTATGATAACTATGGATATCAAATCATTTCTGAGTGTTAATTTTCATTTATTTTTGTTATGACCTTATCCTTGATGTATCACATTTGCTTTAGTTTTAAAGGAGTTTTATTAAACATTTGTATCTTCTGATACCTCGTATTTCAGGTTTGTGTTTTAGTGTGCCAAAAGAACAGAAAATTATTCCACGAAGGTACGATTTTCTTCATCAAAATGGCTATCTACTCTGATTGATATTCTAATATTAATAATTAAGACGCCCAAATTTGTACTTTAAGCGCATATTTATAGGCTGATTGAGCAATTCACGTGGCAAATCTAACGTTATTTAGAATCTCATCTTGACTTTGCATTCATTATGATTTTTTAAGCAATATATTATTTTTTTTTCAGTTTACAAAATATATATAAGGTCCTATCTGAAGACATACGGTCAGGATTTTCCGATCCCAAACATGGTGATCTTAGTGGCTTGGCAAGCCAGGGTAAGTTACACGTAATTTAGAGAATTCCTTTTTAAACATTGTTATTGAGATGGCAGTACTACTGCTTTGATCAGGGTTTATTTAGCATGTGGAAATCATTGTAAACATAATACATGGTATATGAAAATATTGAGACATTCATTTTCAAGAAAATTCAATAATATCAATACTGTGCAGAGTAAAAAACTATTGTGAAATTGTTTTAGATAATGACCTTTTGTAATTAGCTCTATTTCGTAAAGGACAGAAGAGCTTCCTCGATGGTGAGTTTGTATATGTATATCCGTCTAGACATCCTTTTAAATTTTGACATAATTCTTTCAAGAAACCACTTTATATTTAAGTCCGGTTTTGATATAAGACAATATACAAGTAGATTTATCTCAGAAAAGTGCATATAAAAACATCAAGTATGTATTTAATCAATTTTATTGTGGCGAAAATTGGGCACGGCTGTTATCCAGAGACCCAAATTATGAAAAGTTATTGGTATCTTTGGCAACACAACAAAGCAAAGATTACATAAATATTAAATATTCAAACTCATGTTCAAAGTTCATAGTTCAAAGGTCAAAGTTCACAAACACCATCTCAGAAAGTGGTAAAAGCCTTGACCCTGGGAGGTGCAGAGGTCAAGCACTTATTTATATATATCTAAATCCAAAGTTTACTGTCCAACTTTTATGAGTTACATGACTGCATATAAGGATAGTTACTTAGTGCCGCTGGAAAGAAACGGACAGCCGTACCAGATTATATAAATCAACATTATTTTTTTAATGTTGTGGTTAAAGGTAAGTTATTGGCTTCTGCAAATTTGGTGCATGATTTGCTCTTGGAATGAATCACTTCCATATGAATAGTTGTTCCTCACATTACTTTCACATTAAATCAAGCCCAGAATGGTGTGTGCCCGTAGAGGTAGGTCCTTGTGGTTCGAAAACCTGAGCGGTTCCTAAGACCCTAGTTTCATCAGATAAGCCCTGTCATGTTGAGACTGATATTCGCTCCAAGTCTTCCTCTGAAAGCATAAAAAACCAGGAAAGCAGCAATGTATTCTAAATGGGTGAGGTGGGTGGGTGTTTAAATTTATGATGCACAATAACAAGCTGGAAATTTTTTACCGACCCAAGATGATGCTGGAATATTGTAAAAGGAAGATGCAACCAAAGCGACCTCAGGTGTTTTTATTAAAAGGGGCAATAATCATTAATCAACTAAAATATTTGACAAGAACGATAATCACAATGTATTATAAGTATTGAGACTTAGGTGACAAGTAGATGAGTATATACATAATTTTGATTACCATTTTTAATTTCAATCAATGCCTTGGTTTCCAAAAATAGGATTGTTTGAGATTCCTGAAAATCCTTTACCTGATACAGGCTTTTTGAACTAGGCGAAGAAGCCTCTCTGGGAAGTAGGATTGTCTTACCCTCAGAGCTGAAATATCTCATTTATATTAAAGTGATAGAGGAAACTATTTTCAACACTGAAATTAGACTTGACTTTGTAATTTTTGTTAAATATGCTTGAATATTAAGAAACCACTTTAAAAAATGTGCCAAATAATGGAACTTGAGACGTAGGAGAGATAAATTGTTTCCGTACTACAGCGAAACATGCTTTATTTCATGATCTGCACATAAAAATAATTTCTAAAAAATTAAGCAGCACTTTATACTTATAAACTATTTTCCATATTGTTTTAATGTTATTGTTGTTTATGAAAATCAATATTACTAATTTAAAACTTTTAAGGTGAAATTTATAGCAGAGGGTCGGGACCCTTAAATGAAAATTTACATGTACGGTATATCACTATATGAAAAAAATTATATATTGTAAACAGTAAGTGTTTAATTTCCTATTTATAGTTAATTGTTTTACAATAATTTTCACCAAAATACAGTTTATAAATAAATCATATTACAAAACCCGAACATTTACAAACGTTTTGTATTTTCACATGTAGTCATGAAATAGTCCAGGTAAGATGCAAATCTTATACGGTACAACTTTTGATCCATCAGATATGCATTTCGACAAATTATGTCTCTTCAATGATACTAGTACTATGACATGCCGAAATGTTTTCTTTTAAGAGCATTTTTTAATTAAATCTTGGTGTTGAGTCCTGAGGGTTGTGTTATGCTGTCTTTTTGAATATTATCCGGATGTCCTACTGTGTATCCTCTTAATTTATACTTTGGCAAATTCGTACTGAATTCATGTTTATCTTTGAATGTGTAAAATTTCTATATTTACCATCCTTGATAGTTATAATAGTTAGTAATGATATACAGTAGTGCGACTTTGTCAAGTCAGACCTCGTTATGGTCCGACAGTGTTATAGTCCGACACTATCATAGTCCAAATTATCTATCAGCGAAAAACAGTATTGGCCCGCTCAGCGAAGATCCAACGTTGAATCAATGTTGGCAATTCAACTCAATTTGAATTCAATGTTGATTCAACGTTAAATTTTCAACGTTGAAAAGTCAACGTAGAATCACTATTGTGTCTAGATTGATCAACGTCTAAACCCAATTCAACCTAATATTCAACGTTTAAACAACGTTGTGTGCCTGCTGGGATCGTGTTTTGCAAAAAAAAAAATAAAAAAAAATGGACGTTTATTCGCTCTCTCAGAAAGACAATCTGAGGTTTACTTTAATGTGCAATTTGTTTAATACATATCGTCAGAAAAACAAACAGTTACCATAAATCACAAACCTATAAGCTGTAATGATTCATCGTCAACTTCCCTTACTTATGCAGCAATATAAGTTTATCTTCTGTACACGGAATTTATATATCTCAGTTGATTCGATACGCAAGAACATACTCTACGTATGAACAATTTCTAAATGGAGGTAAATTATTAACAAAAAAATTGATGAAAACAAGAATGTCAACACTTTTGTTCAAAGTCATTATTTCGTATGTTCTATGGTCGATACAATAACCTTGTCAGCAAATACAATTTTTCATTGAGTCAAATGCTTACTGGCGTTTTTCATACTGATTGTTAGTCCATTCTGTATACACTGAAATGAATTTTTTGTATGTTCTGATCATGACAAGGAACACACGGCGGATTTGACCGATAGGCAGGGGATGCTTACTCCTTCATGGCATTTTTGATGTTTTTGAGGTCCGACTTTTGGTCTTGAATACTTTTCGCTATATCGACATGTTTCTTTGAAGACGTTGTAATCGTTTAGATCCAAAGTAAAGTAAAGTATCATTAATGATTTTAATTTCAAATTTCATTTTGAGACTTTTTGAATTAAATTATAAATTAAAGAGATTTCCTTCCTCGCTGAGAATTGAATATCCTTAAATACAATATTTATCCTTTTATTGCCTATGATTTAAGATACATTTATAAAACAACATCACATTACTCTTTTAATTTCGTCCATGGTATCAGTCCTCCGGGCTTTGACCGATACCAACCGCTCTAGATGATACCAGGGTCAAGAGAAAAAATAGTTTTGTGATATTCTATATAAAGGCCTATTTTTTTCCTGGCAATTCCCGCCAAATGGCAATAAATCTTGTTAATATGTGAGATACATTTTAAATATCGGTTTGGATTATTGCTGCATTGAACGTTATTGACATGTATTTCTTAAATTGATACAAAATGCTTAAATGCAATTAAAAAAAAAATATAAATAAATAGTTTTTTTAAGACGCTGAACATATTTCGAATATTGTAAAACATAAACGATATTTGAAATACAAATGCATTTTATCTTCCTTCATTCCATACCCATTATGAAAACAATTAATATCAGAGCTTTGGTTTCAAATCCTAACTTTTGCCTCGGTGTTCCTTAATTCATTGACCACAAGGAATGTTTTAAGAAAAAACATAATCTATGAAGTCTGTATAAAAAAGAAGAAATGATAATATATTTATAGATAACACCACAACAATTTTGGATTTTGAATTTTCATTATACATAGGAGTGTTGCTTCTAAGTGCCTGCCTCACAGTAAGGAAAGACGAACCTGGGTCCCACAAAGGACAGGGTTGGGAGAGGTTTACTGATGCTGTCATATCATACCTGAACAAAAACAGGAGTCGTGTACATGTTATGGGGATCCGCTGCACAAAAAAAATTGATATCATTGATGAGGTGACTTTGCTATACACTTGTATCTGTGTTGCTTGATAAATTTTTGATGAGAGATAAACTTCTTATATAAAATCTTACAAAAAATCTGTTTTCTGAATTTTGAGCATTAAAAAGATAAAGTTTTTAAATTTTAAGTACAACATATTTTTTCTGTAATACAGTGAAATCACAAAATTTCGTGGGGGGGGGGGTAATTTTCTTTGTTTTCGAGATATGAAGTAACCAGCGAATTCATTTCTACAACGAAAAGTTTATGTCATATATAATTCATTTCTTCATCCAGGAAATCATATCCCAACGAACCCGTAGATCTTCCTCCTGCCACGAAAAGTTGACCCCACGAAAATATGTGATTTTACAGTAGTTGAAATTAACCTGACCTCCTAATCAATAAAGTGACGTTTTCAAATCAATGCTAATATTTTTATCAAAAAAAAATGTGAGAATGAACTTGATTGTATTTAAAAGCTAAAACGTAACATCAATTATTTCCCAGAAGAAATGCCCCTTTTAACATTCCCTAGTGAATTCAGTATAAAAACAAAGATCTCAAAATTTGTATGAAACAAGTAAGTCAACAAGGTTTAACTTGAAACTGATATTGATCATAGAATGAAAGAAGTGCTGACTTTAAATGAAGTTGTTTTATATGTGATATGATGCATTTTAGAATATTTTTGTTATAAAAACTTTTTGATTATTTTCAGAAGGATCATGTTTTAACAAGTAGCCATCCCTCTCCACTTTCTGTTAACAAAGGATTCTCCACCTGTAGGCACTTCTCCAAGTGTAATGAGATATTCCAAAAAGATGGGAAAACTACCATTGATTGGAACCTACTTCCATAACAAAGATTAATTCAGAAAGCGGGGATTTCCTTGATAAGACAATGTTTTTCATTGTAACATTGGAGCAATCCTTTCAATAAGGTATTCAATGTAAAACAATCATATCTTTTTTAACTAATAAATGAATAAATAAATCTGATATTTGTCATCTTGGGATTTCCAACAGATTGATAGAAAACCCAATATTCTCAAACTTTATATAGATTTGCAATTAGACAGTTATTTCAATGTTCTTTTAATATCATCTCTTTTGTACAATCAGAATAAAAATCGTAATATTGCACGTTTTTATACGAGTTCAATTTCTATTTGTAAAGTTATTTAAAATATATGGATATAACAAACAAAATTCAAGCTCAAAAGTACATGATGTCAGAAAGCCAGGACTTACAATATTAATGGGGCACAATACTAAAAGCTAAATAAAGTGTTAAAGAGTTAAAAAGTCGTAAGAAATGGTTTTACTGATTTTAGTATAACCTTGTAGTTTCAAATTTTCAAAAAAATCTTTGAAGTGTTTAAGCTTCCATATTTGATATACACTACAGGTATTTCTAGAGCAGTATGCTCAAGTTAATGAAGTTTTCCCCTTGCTGCTGTTAATATTTCAGTGACTATCCAAAAAAAATTGGAAGAACATTAACTGAAACCCGCAATGTATCTTAGTTCGTAAGAATGTTTAGGATATTTTTTGAATCCAGTATCGATACTTTAATTCAGAATCATTCTTAATGTTGCGAATATTATATTATTATCATTGCAACGACCTTATAAACAAATATTCCCTAAATGTTTATAAACAATAAACAAATGTTCCGTAAATGTTTCGTATACCTAATTAAAACCTGATAAATTTATAGGGCTGAAGGTGGCCCATCCTTCCCCAGGTGGGCATGAATTGAACAGTCTTCAATTTACAATACATATTCATATTTTTTTCCACTTTGCAGTGATCAATGAATATTATATAAAAATATGCAATAGGAATAATATATACACACTATATATAAACTACATACATTCATATTCTTAGGGCTGAAGGTGACCCATCCTTCCCCAGGTGGGCATGAATTGAACAGTCTTCAATTTACAATACATATTCATATTTATTTCCACTTTGCAGTGTATTAATGAATATTATATAAAAATATGCAAAAAGGAATAATATATTCACACTATATATAAACTACATACATTCATATTCTTACGTATGTGAAACTAAAATGCATTTGCATATTGAGAGTAAATGAAATATTTACAAAAGTTGTGACCACTAGTTGTCGTTATTTATTCATGCACGTCGTATCCATGTACGTCCCTATGTGAAAAGACCACAGATATAACTTAAGGAGAATGTAAAAGCGGTTAGGGGTCGGGAGGCATCCCTTACTGGCAGACCTGTAGTACCAAAAGACTAAGTTTTTAATATGCCCAGGCATTGCCAACAAGGTGAAAGTTTTGCAACTGGAAGTCCTGGATGTTGGAGGCAGAAAGAAAGGTACAGTTAGGTCATCCCAATAATGATTACGGATATCATCTTTAAAGTGGATGGGCATGACACATGGTAAAAGAGATCAACATTTGCAGCAGCAAACAAGGAGTAATTTCTGTACTTATTCTAACAGATTCTGACACTAAATTGAAAAGAATTTTGCACAGAGAAATTTGGTAACAGTCAGTTTGGAGGTAGTCGCCTAAACAAGGAAGGGTTACTATCCTGAATTATTTTTCGGAAACGGTCGATCTTGAATCTTCTGACATGTGAATATTCCTCTGGAGTTTATTGTATCATTTAAAGACTTCAGATCTTACAATGCATTTGTAAGACTAATCAAAAACAACTCCTTCATATATTGTCCGATGTTATATAACATAAAAAATTCAAAGTGCCAGGAATAAACCCTAGCTGTTTTGAGCAATTCTCTAAAAGTATGAAAAAAAAATGGTAAATATGCTTCCTTTAGAAATTGTAGCGTGTCATTGTACAAGTCTCAGTTTGTATTTGAAGAACTTCAAAAAGGTTTCCATAAAAGTCAAAACTTGTTTCCTTGTTATAAGAAGAATGCAAGATATTTGGGCATTGAAGGTAATATTTAACCTCTTTGAATATTGCTTTGAAATGCTAATCATGCAGTTCAGGGCCCAATGCATGCTATACAATCTGCCAGTGAAGGACAACTGCTTAACACGTAAAAATACCATATTTATAAATGATTTTTCTAAGCATTAAATGTACAAAGATTCAAAATGTAGAGAGTACACCGCATTGTCTCATGCCCTGTTGTAAAGGAAACCACCTAGACTGAGACTAGTTAACTATAAAACACTTATTGTATCAACATGACGGTCATTTAGTCAACAGTTTACCTAATTCACCCAGTTTATGCTGTTTCAAGAGAGCATGTCTCAATACAATTTCAAATGCTTTGCTACTAACTAAATAACTTACATAAACATTGTTAACCTATTATAAGTTGCGGAAAATTGTTTCACGTAAGCTTAAATGCGCTGTCAAACAACCATCTTTTGTAGAAACCCTTGCTGTTAAAGAATAAAGAGTACTTTATCACCTTAAACATGCTCAGAAAAGCGGTTATGAATCGTTCTCTAAAAAATCTTTAAAAAGCATGATAATAAAGCAACTGGTCTGTAGCTTTTTCATGAAGATCTCATACATGTCCAAGAACAAATATGATGTCGATATCGACGATATCGACAATATTATGTTGATATCGTATCGATATCGATGTAATCAGCACTATTAATTGGAAATACCTGGTGCTGTATTAGAGACTCTATATTATGTCGATGTCGTCGATATCGACAATATCATGACGATATCGTATCGGTATTGATCCTATTTGCACAATTTATTTTCACATTGAGGTATAACATAATTTTAGAAAGTCACAAGTGAAGTCCAAATTGATTCCTTATTGGATATAAAAAAAAATTAATATGATAAAGAAAATTTTAGGGTTGTTATTGTTTTAGATTAGATTAAAAGTAAGATATTGGATTAGTGTGAAAATTCTTGAAAATATTTTAACAATCATGATTCGATATCGACACGATATCATCAATATCGACGATATCGACAGTAAGGTAAAATTTTTAAACACAGAAGTGATGTAAAAATAAAGTTTTTATATTAGGATGAAGATTGGTAAAGTAATATGCTCTTAACAATCATGAATCGATATCGATACGATATCGTCGATATCGACGATATCGATGGCAAGTAAAATCTTCGTAAAAGTAAAGCATTTAAACATAAACACATTCAAAGAAACAGGGAAGGTATTTACCAAGAACTGAGCAAATATGATTCGATATCGAAGCGATATCGTCGATATCGACGATATCGACACACCAGGGAAAGATTTATCAAGAAATTTTTAAGTAACAGTAGTTAAAAACACCATATTAAGGATGAAAATCACAATTCCTAGATCAACCATGATTCGATATCAGCATGATATCGAGGATATTAACAGTAAGGAAATAGTCTTAAAACAAAAAGTATTGTAATATGCACATGAGAATATAGAACTATTATAGTAAACTATAAAAAAAAAAGTAATGTGTCGATATCGTAACTACATCGTGTCTTGGACATAACTCGAAGATCTTGATTCTCCTCTTCCCTTAATAGTTGCACAATGAAACGACTGCTTCCAGTAAGATGGAATTGTAACAACACAATTGCATTAACAGTTTTTCATTCAAGAACATTTTCGCCACTGAAGATATTGTTTTTATTTGTATCTCGATCATCACTAGGTTCTTGTCTGTATTTCAGTTTGCGAATGATCGGTGCTATCCCCGGTAGAGTAATTAAGCCGATGGGAACGTGGCCTTTATATTGAGCACACAACCTTTAATGTCTGCGTACTTCTTTTCAACCAACAATAAAACTCTTGTTCAAGCAAAGGATCATTAGATGGAGTTTATTTATCCTAACTACATATTGCAAAGACTTCAGAGACTCCTGACGGATAGCTGTACACCATGTCATTGTCCATGTGAATTTCAGGATATGCATGGGAAGATCTGCAGTTCCTTCTTTTACTTCCAAAATACGTGGATATATCACAGTCGGCTGCTTCGTCTAGGTAACGATATACATTACTTACTATTATATAGGACTTCTTTTCCAGATTTAACATATTTCTAAAATATTTTTCGGCCTATCTGTAGTTGCAATAAATTCTACGGACCATACCACTAGGTCTTTTCTCATTTTATTTACAGCCGCAGCACTTTTTCACATGTGATTCCTTCACCTCTCTTATCCATCCCGCGGTCATCTATGAAGATTATATCCAGCCTGAGCATGTTTTGCTCAGTGGACTTTTTTCCATCTAAATAAGACTGATCATGGCATTGCTGTTTTTAGGGAAACGATTTTAAACAATTTCCTATATATTCCTTTATTAAAATTTACCCCCCCCCCCCCAATTTCTGCCCAACCCGACACCAGGAGTAATCATTTAACCAATTTCAAGCTACACTACCTGAGTATGATTGCATATGAATATGATCATGCCTTTCCTACAAAAAAAAAACCCACACATTTTCTAGATATTCCTAAGCATAACTTCGATTACCAGTTGAAGCCTCACTCTACCCCTCCCCCTCCCCTCTCCTTTCCAGGGACCATAATTTGAACAATTTATACTACACTATAAACTACACTATCTGAAGGTGTTGTTGTTTTTTGTTTTTTTTTATTATTCAACACGGCTTTGCTGTTCTTAACAAATATAATCTTTCCCCTACATATTCCATATACCTTTCCCCTACATATGTAAAATGTTAACCACTTGTTAGGGATCTGCACTAAACCTGGGGGTAGTAATTTTAAATACTGTAAAACGGGAAAATTTTGCGCAATTCTAATTTTAGCGCCTTTGGCGCAAGGGCCCACGAGCGCTAAAATTTATTGTGCGCAAAAGGATTTCTAAATATCCTTTTATGTGTGTGGTCAAAGCTTTTACATAAGAACATGTAAACCGGAACGCGCGATTACATAATGTCGAAGGGCCATTGGATTTGATATACGCACTAACACTGCACATGTTCGGAAGACAGAAAGTTCTGCTAAATTATAATTTTATTTTACTTTTGTTACCTCTGTAGTTGTTAACCGATTATTATCATTAGCACCTTCAAAGTTTGGCTTCTTGGCATGTCAATCATCAATCGCCTCGAGGTAATCAATGCAACCAAGCATGGCGATTGAGCTTGCAGACAGTACCTAATTAGGTTTTTTTTTTACCGTTTTATCTAGGTAATTTTCACTCGATGCATGCATTGTTTTAATATGAATTAAATGAGTAAATACTCCATTTCTTTTAATTGAAAATAGAAATAAAATAAATTTTAACATTGTACCACGTTCATGTGAAAGCAACACGTACCGCGGTAAAGTTAACGAATGTTTACTGTTATACGGGAGTACAAATGTGTTTCCGTGCTTGAAAAATCAAAACAAAATATCACATTTATACATTTTACTGACAAGTGCAAGCGCTAAAATTTATTTGCGCCAATGCATTCCCGGTTGCGTTTGCGCTAAAATACGTATCCGCCAAATTTTCTTGTTTTACAGTATATTTTCACAATTTACTTCTAGATCAATATAAATTTCATTGTGAGCTAATAATGTTCGTCGACCTTCTTCATATTCTTTCTCTGTATGTATCTGTATATGGATATTTCTTCTTTATGATCGCTTGTTCCAACCCAGAGAAGGTGGTTTTTGTTGTTGTATCCAAGAGCTCTTGGTGCTTTTTTCCATCTTTGTTCGGAAAACAACACTGATAAGAAGTGACCGTCTTTGTCAATCATTTGAATTGTTTTACTATTAGCATCAGACACCAGAATGTTTGACAGAGCATCTACGCAGATTCCTAATGGTAATAGTCGAGATCTTGACAGAGGTCCTGTGAAGGAGAACTCATCTTGTTCTTCTGGTGGAGGTCCTGTGTAAGAGAAACGATGCTTGCCTCCACGGTCTGTCACTACTACAGCACGGTTCTGGTCAGACACAATAACATCTCCATTATGGTTTTCGGTGATGTATAAAGGGTGTTCAAACAGTCTCTGATCCGTATTTTCGTCTCCAATGACCTGAATGGGCTTTCCTTCACTGTTATATCTTACTACCTTGGCCTTTGTAGGTTTATTTTTTTCTTTCTCGCTTCTTAATATTCCAACTAATAGGTCTCCATTGGACGAAGAGCTGTAGACACACTTTGCAACCCATGGGTTTCTTACCTTTATAAGTGTATTTTTTCTTATCTTGTTTGTAGACAACTTGCTAATGTTATGATGTTTGTCTATAAAAACCAGATTTCCCTCACGAGTCACACAGTGTCCTCCTGTATCGTTGACTGTATCCATGTTATCTAACAGAAAGCATGAAGGAACGCCTCTTGTATTTGTCAAAATGATAAATCCACGCGGATCACTTACCCACACCATGTCTGTTGTCACACAGGAGATGTGACGAACCTCACTAACATAAACCACTGAAAATGAGTTCTTCAACACAGGTTTAGGCATCATTTCCAGCAGCTGCTCATTACTAACTTGTCTCTCTTTTGTCTCTATGATTTGGATTTCCAATAGTAGCTTAATAATTTCTCCCATGTTGATTTCACTCTTCAGAGAGAATTTGAAGGCATCAGGAAAATCATTTACTTTTGGAATTGGGGTTTTCTTTAGATATAGAAAGAATTGCACTGGTTTGTCTGACAACTGTCCTAATTTGTACATAAACGTTTCTGTTTTGATAATGTTTTTTTTTGGTTCTTGAAATCTAGATCTCATTGACCGTTTTAATTCATTAATATCATTCAATACTACATCAACAAGATTCTTTAGTCTCCAAGCTCTTTTCATCATGCTTTGTTGGAGATCAGATAATTCAAACTGTACACCTGTTTCAACCTCCGATTTTATATTTTCAAGAATAACTCGATTGTTTGGGATTGTTTCAGTTCTGATCTGAACAAGTCTTTCTATGTGTAGTTGTCTGAACATTATTTTAAATGAAACTCGATCCAGTATGTCATGGTTTTGGTGGTCATCACAACAACTGGCACAGATAAAACGTTCACATGACAAACAACATTTGTTTAACGTCTGGTCTCGGTGCCTTTCACAGTTGCCTAATTCATATATTATGTGGTCGACGTCCTTAAAACGATCAATGACCACATTGTGGTATTTTGTATCGAGGTCTAACACATGGTCTTCCTTACAAAAAACACAAAGATTTCTTTTACATGTCCTGCAATAGAATTCTACGTTCCCCTGACACTGAGAACACTGTGGAACACCAGTTTCCATCGTAGTTTTTTTTTAAATTCTTTTTCTCCTGATTCTAATCTAATTGTTCTGGCATGGGAATCTAGATAAATACATTAAAAAAATATATTTATTTATTTTCATTTAAGGGTTTCTTGTCACGTTATAGATAAGAATTATCTTGGCAAAATCAAATATATTGTGTGTATTACGTATACGATCAGGACACGTTAAAACTTTGACAATAACTCATTATTAGGCCCTATATTCTAGGCTCTTTCATAATAAAATACTGAAACGCTAAAGAAACATCACAAGCAGTAATCTACAAATGTTGAAATTTTTATCGAATGATTTTCAAAAAAGAACACAGTAAGGCTAAACTCACTTTTCAGAACATCAGAGATTTGATAAAATGTTAAATGTTTTACAACTTTACAAAGTGACATATATATATATGACTGTTTTAAACACCCCTCTCCCAGCCATTTAATTACAACGTGCAAGACTGACCTAAACAACAATTGCAGCTTAATTTCTACGACACAATAGGTTAATCAATATCAAGATATGAGCGAAGGAATTATTCTTTGCCTTTTAAAACTGTCTGTTTTTTCAGATGATAAGTTCGAATTTTCTTCAACTCAGCGTACTGAAGTAACCCTTGGTCTTCCAGTCCAAAGACTATCATTTATGCATATGATACGTAAGACCCCGTTGAGGCGTAGTGTATTTTTGCATCATCAACTCTCTACACCTATACTTTGAGCTTTTCCAGCTAGAGCAATCGATATGCGTACTTAAGCCATTTTCAAGAAGACTTAACATCGTTACGGGAAAAGAAAGTGATTTTATTTTTTGAAATATTGCTGCATAACTTAAGATGAACAATACAAACCCTTAAAACTCCATAATATTGCCTACTGTTTGTTAAACATGCAATTTTTGATTTCTGTTAATCAGACTCCAACGTGACTTCCGGTTATGTTATGAAAATTGTTCAACCGTTAAATTACCGATGTAGACGAAATTGAAGATATCCATAATTTTATGATACAAAATTTTTTACGTAATTTTTTCCCCCTAAAGAAGGGTTTTGCGTTTCTTTTGCGTTTCAGTATAGAATTATTCATTAGTACGAGCGTGGGATAGTGAAATTCCACCTAAGGGACAAAAATAATGGTCTAGGACGAGGCTTTGCCGAGTATGTAATAAATGAAATAATTTTAATGCATTGTTTTAAATCCACAATAAAGGCCTGTCATTGACGTCGCCATTACTTTTGGCATAAGGCTAAAAACATTATGTTAATTTTTCATCTAATTAAACATCTGAATACACAAACAGAGAAAGCGTACCTGAAAATGGTGTAAACAAATGAAATGAATTTCAATCTATGTAGATTAATTTGAAAGATAAAAACTGGGAATAAAAAATTATCTCTCCGATAGCGTACAAATTCATTCAAGAAAAATCCTTCCGCGATCTAAAAAATAGTGTCATTTAAAAAGTGAAAATACGACTATATTTTGAATGAAAAAGTTTATTATAATAAGGTAAACGAGAACATTTTAAGTATATAAATATTTTTTTCATTTGTTACAATTTCTTAATATAAAACGGAATGCTTACGTTATCGTTCGTGGAGTAGAAATACATAGTGTATGACAGAAAATCTCACACTGCTGTCTCACACCGGACAAGTCAATTTAACACTGGTGATTATGCGAAGAACGCTACTCCCTAGCTTCAATAATTTGTCGAGAAATCTCTTTTATTGAATGCTGGTATATATTCGAAATGATATACATGTACCTGTGTTTTGCTACATAGAAAGAATAAACGTTGGTATGTATTTTAATGTTGTTTACTTTCAGTAGATTTTATCGAAACTACCAAATATTTCAATAACTTGAGGCCTTCTCGTGTCTTTTTTGCTTTATCAATCTGTTCTCAATTGGTTGCTTGGTTGAGGTCCTATTTATAAATATTTATGCATATTTTGCGCAAAGTTTAATATTAAGACATATGAATAAGACGGGAATATAAGAAAATGTAATTGATCTCAAAAAATCTGCCAACAGTACAAATATGTATACAGGACATAAAACATGGACCCTGGATATACCAGAGGAGAAATTATGGCCAATATGCATACAAAAGTCCTTAAACATATACCTAAGTACCGTTTTCTAGCTTAGCAGATCGAAATGTTACTTTGCATACTGCTTAGCATGCTGCATAGACCTTCTCAAATCTTTAGTTTATGCTCAGCTTGTCAGAAAGTTCTGTCTATTCGTCAGTAAATATATTTTAGATAATCCTGGTCAATCAAATAAAACTATAAACAATATACAAATTTGCGGAAAGGGCATGAATATGGGCCCCTTGGGTATTTAGGAGGAGAGATGTGATGTCTAGGAGAAGTAAGCACTACCTATTTAAATGTTTTAGTCAAACCCGCTCTGAATAAATGTTTTCCAAAAAATCTTCCGACGATAGCTTGAAAAATCTTCAGAAATGTCAGCTTATATATTGTGACATAAATATGTTACATGGATTGCTGTGCACATGTGGTTTAAATTTCGGTAAAGTCATACAGTACTGAGGCTTCGATGCCACAATATGGAGCAAAAAATTTTCAAGGGAATAAAGAAGAAAAGAAAAATAAGAAAAAAAATGTTTCAAGAAAGATCAAACGGAATGGCAATTTTGATATACGCAAACGCTAAGGTCTAAGGGACTTTGTCAAATATGCTGTGTGGTCAATAAAGAACAATGTACAGTTTAAATACAAATAAAGCTCTGTATTTTTCGAAAATATGAAAGTGATGTTTATTAAAAAAAAATTCAAATTCAAACCATTTTATTCATGGGAATGCCACGTAATAAAAATACCCAAATCTTTATTTCTCATATAACCTCCTAAATGCTAATTCTGACTCATTAACCTATGCATTTCCGCATATTTTCTTAAATGAAAAGTTGTAGAAAAGATCAATTTTCAGCGGAATTTTCTTTCAGAAATTATACTCTGCCACCGTCCCAAATAGATTTTGAGATATGTGATTTTTCAAAGAAGTTAACATAATATATATATCCAAAGATTGAAGTGGATGACGGTGGCAGACCCCAAAATAAATAAAAGCATAGATATGAGTATTCTTAGGCTTTTTTGCAATAAACTTAGAAATGTACCAAATTAATGACGTCATATTTCCAGAGCGATCCCCTATCATGCCATATTCATTAATGATTTATCATATTCATCTACTCAACTCTTAGCTTCTTAAAGCCAAATTCTTAACTTTTGAAGAAAATTAATTTTTTAGGGCACAATAAAGTCCAAACCATACCTTCTTATTCATCATATAATAAATGAGTGAAAATTGTGCTTTACTTGAAAACCTGTTCCACAGGTTACTGATGAAAATTGCCAATGACTACATATATGAAATAGAACTAATCTCAAAATTTGTGGCCCGCGTGGCGCAGTGGTTAGAGCGTCTGTTCTAGAGTCGCGAGGTAAGGAGTCAATCCTTAGGTCGCGGTTTCGAATCCCACTGTGGGATGTGGAGACTGGTCCTTCAAATGAGACCGTATAAACCCGTGGTTCCGTGTCGCAGTAGATGCTGGCAAGAAAAAGATCCCTCCCTACTCAATGTCCCTAAGTGCCGAGGATAGGACAAAATTTGCAGCTCTCCACCGGCAAGTGGTGGCATCTCCATATAAGTGAAAAATTCTCGAGATAAACGTTAAACAATATACTATCAATCAAACAATCAGAATTTGTGTTGAACTATAATATATATATGATAAATAAATTTCAACAAATCGCGGATAAGGTTATTACTACATGATACCATGAGGGGAGGGCTTATTTTTTCCCAATCTTTATATTATTTATTATGTAAGCGTTGCAAACCTAACATTTTTATTTCAGAAAGAAATTGAAATTGAAAACCTTTTTATTGATTTAATATATTAGGATTTTTTCATGCTAAACTTGCACTCTTTAATTTTTTGGGGGGATAAGTTATGAAATTAGCATTTACTAAATTGGAATGAATTTTACAGGTAATACCATCTATTTCTTCTTCAGAACCTTTTAAGACTCTCTAAATGCGCAGATACCAACGAAAAATGTCTTACACAGAGCTCTTTGGACAACCGAAGACAAAAAAGAATGATATAATCTAGTCCAAAACCTTAAAACCAACTAGTATTTTGTATGAGGGCAGTGGATAATTAAATTTCCTTCATATTGAAATTTACATGTCTGTCAGGGACCACGATGTTAATTCGATCACTTAATTTTCTCACTCTTTTCACATAAATACTACTATATTTACATCAATATTTCTGACAGACAAAGTTTTGAATGTTGCATAAACAGATAAGAAATCTCGTTAATACGGTCTCTTTACCTTTCGTTGTTTGGTTAGAGCAAATTTCATACTACTTTGTATTCAATGAAATTAAAACGTGATTGTTAGGGTAAACATTTTTGTCCATTTTATAAGAGAAAGAAACTGATATCAGGCCTATGGGTTTAGTACTTTCCTTCATAGCATGGACAGTCTGAGGTATTTCTCTTTTAAATAAAATATGTTTACTACTGTAATTGAAAATTCAAGATTCTGTCACACTAAGTATCATTCTTTACTAGCTACATTAATCGGTCAAAAACTTACAAATAAAGGCAGGAAAATCAATCAGTAAGACGCCGTTACGTGCTTGGAATCTTCAACATAGCTGTTTTAATATATCTATCATGGAATTGTCTGCCTTTTTGTTGTTGCCGTTACCAGGCAGAAGCAAGTTCTTTGTCCCTTAGCTGAATACAGTAATACTATCAAGCTTTATACATCATCAAGTTTTTTGCTTTTTGATTTTTCTTCTATTTTATTCAACCAATGCTCGCATTCATTCACCCCGAAAAATATTTCAAAATGACAAATATTAGATGTCTTTGAAGTGCAGTCACTGAATACATGCATACTATCAATCGTTTCATTAAAAAACAACCTTTTGTTTCTTTC